TCATTAAGCAGGTGACCTCGTTCCATCTGCCAGGAAAGTAAGATTAAAAATGAGAATCAACTCTTACGTAAGTTATGTATTTATACCTAACTCACTACTAAGATTTAGAATGAAAGCTACAAGATCTCTTTTGCATGTCTGTATGTTCATGTATATACATGTATGCATGTTATGTATACATGTTATTTTTCTATCTCCTGATGGTATTACCAAATTAATTTATAAAATCCTTTAAAGGAGTTCTATTCAAACTAGCCTAGAGATAAATAATTGCTTACATAAATTAAATATTCCTAAAACTCACAGAAATATGGAAACTAATCCAATGTTCAAGTTCATGTGATATGGGATAATATTTGGTTAAAAAAAAAGGCTAGTTTAATATTCTGGTTTTAAATAAAACTAGATAAAACAGGTATACCTTCAGAGTTGTCAGCATTAAATATAATGCAGATATACAATTTTTCTAACTAGTTTTACTAGTCAACAGCTTATGTTATCTCTACTAGATGTTTAGAATTATAAGACAATTCAACCTAAGAAGAAAATGTACAATAAAAATGAATTTCTTGACGTATGTCTAGTAGTTTTAACAAGAAAGGTCAAATGTTTATCTTTTTAGGTTTTTTGTTTCTGTGATTCTTTTTTGATAACTGCCTTATTTTTGTCAACAAGAAAATAATAACTTGTGATGATGGCTAACTTTCTTTAATGTCTCATGAAATTTTGTTTAAATATTTCATAATTTTAAAATTATTATTAAAATAAGTAAGCATACCTGTTAGAAGTAAATTAAATAGATCTAAGTGGGATAAAAGTTTATAAGTGAACTTTTCAGGATGTTTTATATGTCAATTTAAAAAAGTTTCCAAAATTGTTTTGACAACTTGAAACCTTAAAGCTATACTAAGTTAAGTTAAATAATGGATATTAACTGAATATCCAACTCCAGCTCCAAGTAAGATAAAATACCAAAACATGTAATTGCTGAACGAACATAAGTTTAAATTTATTTACTTTTGGCTTTTTTTTCCTTTCCTTTTTTTTTTTCCTTCTTTTTTTCACTCCTACTTTCGGCTTCTTAATTTTTACAGAGAGACAAAAGACATTTTGTCTGTTAGTAAACAAGTCCTTTGTCACACTGAAATATTGTACTATGAGAAAACAGTATGTACCTATAAGAATGCAAGATGGTATATTCATAGACTTTGCTAGTCTGCTCTAGAATGCTGGTATGTAACAGACAATTAGCAATTATTTATTCCTAGTTTTCTCAGTAAAAGGAAGGTTACTAATGGTTAAAAGTTATAATGAATATATGTGAATGAAACTACTAGGAATAATAAGAATTAAAAGAAACCTCTGGTGTGCAAAGTATGCAAGGAAAATAAGATGTGTTTTTGATAAGGACAGGACAGTAATTCTGTCCTAAAGTAGAATGCCTGGTTGTTCTAAAATAAGAAATGGAAACTAAAAAACAAAATGGATATAGAAAAATACTATAGAAGGTTTGTGAAAAAGGAATTTTATGTGCTCCAATTGGTAACATTGAATGGATTTATTTTTAAGTTAAAAACAATGATGAGCCTTAATATCAAAAGTGTACTGATATAAAACTAGAATGACAATGGATACTGGTCTGCTCCTATTAAGAAACTGTGAAAGTGTTTTTCTTCACCTTTAATAAGTAATAAACCTAGGAAACAAAAGATTTTTTATCTTGCCAAAATAATCTCTGTACTACATTATGTCTTTATCATTTCTTTCTTTGATTACTTCAAAAATTTTTTTGAGTTTTCCCAGTATTAAAGGGGCTAAAGAATTTTTTTATAGCTATGTTACTTCCTGACCTCAAGACAGGGAACAGTTTCTAAAAACAAGATTCAGAAAGGATAAATTACATAGAGAAAAAAATTGATTAACTTTACATTACAAATTTTAACATCTGTATGAAAGTCATAATAAGCAAAAAAGGCCACAAACCAGAAGATATTTGCAACATATATATCCAATGAAGGATTAGAACCAGTATAAAGTACTTTTATAAATCAGTAAGAAAAGCCAGTAAGATCTTAACAGAAAAATGGAAAAGGATATGAATATAGATGACATTTTACAAAGAAGGAAACCCAAATGGACTACAAACACTAAAAAAGATTTGGTCTCACTAATAAGAAATGAAAAAAAACAAGAGATACCATTTTACAACTACCAGACTGACAAAACTTTAATGACAACACCATGTATTAGTAAGGATTCAGAAAACGGGAATAAAACCAGTCCAGAAAGCAATTTGGGAGTGTCTGGAAAAGTTGTTATACCTTAAGCAGTTTTTCTTAGGAGGAATATATCCTAGAGAATATGATTAAGGATATTCATTCCAGGAAAAAAAAAAGGAAACATTGATAGGGAATGGGTAAACTGTGGTACATTTATACAATGCAGTATTACACAGTAGTTAAAATGAATCAACTAGAAAATCTACATATGTCAGAATGGTTAAAACTCAAAGTTGAATGAAAAAGTAGGTTGCAGCATAGTATCTACTCTATAATACCATTTATGTTGATAAACACACAAAACAATGCTATATATTATTTAGTGATATACAGTTGATACTGATAAACAATATATAGAAATATTAAAACATGAAGGGGAATTATAAACAGCAAAGTCTGGACAGCAGTTACCTCTGTGATAGGGAGAGAAGGGAAGAAAGGAAATAAATGGGAGTCTTCAATTTTATCTACAAAAACACTAACATTTGTTAAATTGGGGAATACAATTTTCTCAGTGCTCTTCCAAAAGTTGAAAAAAAAATTTTTTTAACAGGCTTTGGTCAAATAAATACATATACAAGTACCAGACAGCAAAAGAAAAATCATTATCTCTCTCTCTGTAACTTACAATTGTAAAACTATTCTAATGTCTCTTTGGTGCCTAACTCCCTTAGCTTGATAGAAATTTTCAGGTATTTAGGCACAAGCATGTTGTACGTGTCAAGTCTCCTTTTCCCTAACAAGGTACTTCTCACAAGGTGCTGAGGAACTAAAAAAATCTGGTTATGTAGATACCAGTGACCTATCAACCAACACAATTAATATTCCATTGCCAACCCACCTCGGTATAATTTAAAATCTTTTAACTTACAACTAAATTATTCTCTGAGTCATTATAGGTCTATGCAAACCTATACTATGAATGACCCAACAGGTAAAAAAAAACCAAAATTACATCTCTTCTTAGTTACATAATTTTCCCTCTCCACCCTACGTTCTTCAGTCCTATACTCAGTACAAGTTCTCCACATAGGTGGAGTATTTCTGGATCTTCCAATTTTAGGAAGATTTGTGACTCAGCACTGAGGGAGTGTGTTCATTAGTGCCAAGGGGAACTTCATGGAACTCTGCTCAATCAGCAATTTAGGATGTAAGTTCCTGAAACAAAGTAAGAGGAGAATTGACTTTCCAACCAAGCATGATGAGTACATCAAACTCAAAATGATGCCCAAGAACAAACAGTTCCAGAAACAGGGATTCAAATAAAATTGGTTTTGTAGCATTTATTGTTCTGCAGACCCAATGGCAACCCATCTGTTTTTGCTTCATTTTCTGGCTTGGTTAAAAGTACCTTAGAGAGTATACTTGTCCCTTCTCTTCAAAATAACAATGGAGAACACTACTACTCAAGTCCTATGAAAATCTGAGTTTTTACCATTACTTGTTAGGTGTCTCTGTGTGTGTATCTCTGTGGGGGGTGGGGGGGAAGATCCTCTGTTTTTGTGTATGGGTGGGCCTCAGGGTGTATATGAGTCTGTGTGGGGTGTCTGTGTGGGTACACGTAGGAGATTCTCTGTAGAGATGTGGGGTTCTCTATGCGGGTGTGGGTCTCTGTATGGGAAGGGTCTGGGTAGAGGAGTCTTAAAGGGTTCTGCTGTATGTGGGGGATCTGTGTGTGTATATTGGTGCCACTGGTAACTCTCTGTTTCTGTTTCTATCAAGTATTTTACTACAAGTCTTATAAGGGTTGTAACTTTCTGCCATTCCACAAAACCCTAACATGATTTTCTTGCCTCTCTACCCTGTGGTTTCATAAGAGAGAAACATGAATTAAGACCAACTGCTAAACTGACATTACTCAACAACGAGTGAAAAACTGAGGTTCTGGTGGGTATACACTAGTGCAGAATCAAAGCTGCCAAGGGCAGATATTTCTAACAAGCTCCAAGGTGATGTCAATGCTTCTGGACCAGTTTGAGGAGCAAAGATCTAAAGGATTCCAAACTTAATAAACTTCTTCTAACTATAATTAGACTTCTCAGGTAGATTTTCCAGAGTATCCTCTAACTGACACATATGTAAGATCAGCTTGAATGTTATACATACGACCATAAAGTAGAAGTTACCATTTTAAATATGAGTCTCTTGTGAATTCAGTTTGAAGGAGACAGTCCTAAAAGGTGAATGACCTCTAAGTGTACTAAAAAGGTGAATTCCTGGACTTATAAAGCTGGAATAGAGAAACCTCATAAAGGTTCTCCTACACTGTGAAACTTCTTGGATAGACAACCAACTAGTTTCCGTAGGGTAAAACACATTGAATTCAATGCTGATCTCTTCAAATACAGTAATTCCTGCTTCCAGCATTGCTGATCTCCAGCTATACTGTTTATTTTCATATCTACATTCCCTACCTCTCCTTGAGGAAAAAAGTGGTATTTTGATGATTTAATAATCTTACCACTTAGCAGTGTGTATCACAAACATATAACTGGTTTTTGCACAAAAGCTCACGTGTTAGGGGAGATAATTAGACAAATTTCTAGAAGTAGATAAGTTCCTTCTCTAATAATCTAATACAGTCCAGCATAGGCCCTAAAAAAGAAATAGCATTAGACCAATTATCTTTTCTTCCTTATAGGGACAATAGACATGAATGTAGCAAAAAATTCCTATTCCATTTTTGTCTCCCAAAACAGAACAACCCAAGACTAGGCTTAGTCAAACTTAATCCAGCAGTTTTATTGAAGAAGACACTTTATTCACCTGCCAGGAAAAGAGGCTCTGGAGCAGGCAATGGTAGGCAACTTTTAAAGGTAGATGCATACAATTATCTAATCTTGGCAAAAATTTTTCTTCCTACAGTCTCATCATACATACTCAATTTCTGGCAATGCCTTTAAAAAAAAACATGTTATCATTTTGAAAGCAGAACACATTGTATTACATTTTTCCAACTTGGTGTAACTGCAGAAAGTAAGTCCTTTGTAAACCATTGCTATATAGGATATGTATTTGATATATCACTGAGGCTCCAATTTCTATCAAAACATAACCTATATCCACTAAACAATAATAACTGTTTATATAAATAAATAAAACTTTCTTAAAAAGTGCTTCTATGAATAACTTATTATAAGCACTAAGCTAGTACTACCACGATAGCAATTTTTACTGTCATTCTTGAGTTAAATAGACACAATCTTCAGTCAAAAGTTACTTCTACACGTCCATCTAAAAGTAAAGAAAGAAAAACAGTTAAGAAGGACAAGTTAAAGAAAAAGAAACAAAGAACAAACCCAAAAAAGTAAAATGTTTAATTTTATTTGGGGACAAATAAAGCTCTCTTATATTACAAATAGTATGTATCTTACATTACAAACAAAAATTAATTCCAGATGAAAACCAAAATAAATACAACCATAAAACATTAAAGAAAATATAAAAGAATTTGTTTATAAACCTGGTTAGGAATAGCCATTCTAAGACACATAGTGTTGAAGCCATAAATGAAAACACTGGCTAATCTAAATACATAAAAACTTTAAAAATCATAAACAAAGTTACAAGTCAACAAAAATAGAGTAGGGAAAAATATTTACAACATATACACAAAGAATTAATATCCAGAATATATAAGGAATTCCTACAAGCCAGCATAAAAAGGACAATAGGAAGACAAAGATCTTCATCGATTTTGTTCACTGCTGTATCCCCAGCACTTGGCACACAGCAGTCACTCAATAAATATTGTCAACCAGGAAATATGCTAATAAAAACAACAATAAAAGCTTTTCCTCATACAAGATACAAAAATATCCATTACTGGTGAAGTTGGGGTGAGAGGGTTGTCTTGTTTATAATTGATATGTAAAATGATACTACATTTTTGAAGGCCACATAACATTATGTATTAAGTTTAATATGTGGATATCTTTCAACTCCAAAATTCTACTTTTAGGTATCTATCCTAGAGAAACACTTATACATGTACACAAAGAGAATGCATACAGATAGTTACTTTAGCACTGTTTATAAGGAAAAATAATTAAGATTTTAAATAAGCATCAACAGAATAATAGCTTAATAAACAACAATGGTATAGACTTTGGAAATCAATTTGGCAGTTAAGAAGATGGAGCTAGATCTATATGCACTGATATGGAAACAGCTGCAAGACAATCTGAAAAACAATGCGTATATATAGTACACTTTCATTTATGTAGAGGTTATTATAAAACTACAAATTTCTGTATGTACAAATATGAGTGCAAAGTCAGAGAAAAAGGTTAAGAAAGATCTATTATAGCAGAAGTCATTTCTGGGGAGGTGAATGAGACTGCCTGAGGCCCAATTAAGGTCTTCTGCTTTATTAGACTGAATTACTTTGTAAGAATATATTCAAGTATTATTTGTCTAATTAAAAAGTTTTTTAATGAAAAAAATAATGTAAATGCCATGTAACTGATATGAAGAAAAGAAGAAGAATGTATTTGGGGGATTAGGCAGGGAAATAAAAAGTTCCACTTTTTTGAACAAGCAGGCAGTTGTACACAAGACTGGCACTCAGAAGATGGGTCTTGGCTGAAGAAATAATCTGGGTAATCATTGGTCTGTAGATGACTGTAAAGGCATAGAAATGGTATGGATGGCTTAGGGAAAAAACATAATGGAAAGAGCAAAGGGCCCAGGTTCAAGGAGAATGAGCCAACAAAGAAAACTGAGAAGGAGCAGCTAGAGAAATAAGAGGAAAACTAGTGAACAGCAGTGTCACCGATCATGGAAGCCAAGAGAGTGTTCTGGTAAGAAACGGGTGTTGAATGCTACCAAGAGGTCTGATACGATGATGGCTGAAAAAACGGACTGCTATGTTTCACAATCTAATGGATGTTAGCAACTTCAGCAAAAGAATTTTGTTTTGGGCAGAGTTTTAGGGTAGGAGTGGGTTAAAGAGTTTGTCGAAAGAAAAAAGGCATGTATATACCATGTACTGAAAACCCCCTTAAGAAGCTTAGCTGCGAAATGGAGTAGAAAGATAGAGGACAATAGGAAAAAGGAGAAATGGGGTCAGAGGATAGGGTTTTCAAAATGGGAGAGATTGGAGCAAGTTCAAAGCCTGTAGGAAAGGCTCTAGTAGAAAGAACTAACCAAAGGAGTAAATTCTTCAGGAAAACAGGAGATTGTGATTAGAGTACCTGTTGAGAAACAGGTCTTTGATGGAATGAAGGCCACTCCCTCTACCATAAGTAACAGGAGGGAAGGAGAAAAAGATGAGCTCCCAGTACAGTAGGTTTGTAGATTTGAAAGGTATAAAAATTAAGAAATTCCCCTTTTGGCAGCTTCTGTTTTTATAACAAAGTATAAAGCAAATCACTGTTTAAAAAAACACACATGGGAGATGATAAATAAAGGTGGTATGAAATAGTTATTTTCAGTAAGCAGGAAAGTGAAGTTCCTAGAGAAATGTGTAACATCACTAGGCAATGATGATTATGCATATGAGGATAACCATTACGAATTATAATGACATAGACCTGCCTGGTTTTCTGATTTTTCTCTAGCAACCCTCAGCTCCATGGATACAGACAACTAAGAAAGCAGATGGTTAGGTTCAACCAGTGCATCACTCAGAGATCCACAAGTCAATTCTGGCTGAATTAAATAGAGAAATAATTTAAAACTAAATTCTAAACAGCTAAAAACACCACCCAAAATCGTACACAGAATGGGTTTGGCAAAGATGTTATGACTGCTAATGCCAAGCAGGAGATACTGCAACTTGGACTACACCATTACAGTTCTGGATACCAGGTGCCATACTAACAGCTGTTGCCCTTGTAACTTGATCTTGCTGCTAGAGGTTGATGCTACATGAGAATTTACTGTTAATGGAGGGGGAAGTTGTGGAGACCATAATAGAAAGGTTTGGGGGGACTGGTGGAGCTGAGAAGATGAAGAGAATCGAAAGGGAATGAGCATTAGGAAGATAATGGATGAATGGATGTCAGGTAATTAGTTACTGAGGTAAACAGGGATGTGAGGCTGGTGGTTTAGGCCTAGCCTGGGAAGAGTGTAGATCCAGAAATCCAAAAGGTTGCAGAGTGGTCTTTGCAGCAGCCTGGGTGCAGCAGCTTAAACAGATTTCGCATGGGAGTTTGGTCAAAGAAATAGGGGTTTGGCAATGTGTCAAAGCCTCCCAAGGTTGCTCTGGGCAGTGTTTCATCTCACTAATCCCAAAGGCATTACAGATTGGCAAAACCTTGGGCAAGTTAATTACTCTCTTTGTATTTTCTCATCTGTAAAATAAAAATAATATCATCTGATAAAGTTAGGAGGATTAAATGAGATGAGAGTGATGCCTCTCAGAGAGTAAGTATTTAGTAAATGGTAGCCATGAGTGAAGAGCTACACATGAAGCGAAGAGAAGAGTTTCCAAGAAAAGATAGTCAACAGTATCAAATCTTTAGAGCAATCAAATGGGTTCACACTGGAGCACTGAAGGAGATAAATTTATAGGGAAGATGAAACCAGTATTAGTTTCAGAGTTACTTAACTTTCAATGATAGTTTTGCAGTACTCAGAGAGGCTTTAAGGAAAAGCCTCAATTATGGTCTGAGAAACTCAACTAGCAGCTCTAGAACTTCTGTACCCTTCCTTAATATAGTTTCTGAGCTAAGAACCAGGTGCCCCAAACCAATACATATTTACTAACAGGAGAAAAGAACAGGAAGTCACCTATTAACGCAGTGGCCAAGAGGGAAATGGCTAATTGTTATAGGATATAGTTAGGGAGGAGGGGACTGAAAATCAAAAACACTATACTCTTAAGCTATTTAATTTAATCAAAAGAGTTTTAGACTTAGAACTGCTATAGAAGAAATTTTAATCCACCACTTTTTCTGCTCAGCTCTTACCAAATCTCAGGCCATAGGTCATTCAGACTATAAAAGCTCTTACAAATTCCACAGAAACCTGATCAAGCTTACTAAACCTCTAATTGGTAAATGGAATTTCAGCTCGTCTAACTGTGCATACCATCTGAACAGGAAGGCAGCGCGGTGGGATCAGGGCAACTGCCAAGATCGTTCTCCTTCCATCCTCCAACCTCGGTTGTATCATCCTGAATTATTTAAACAAAAATTTCCATGGGAGAAACTGATATTCTTTAAAACTCAACTGGACAAATAGTCTGAATAAGGATTCCAACAAATCTTTTTTTTTCTTTCAATGTGGGGGAGGGAAACACTTTAAAGGACATGAAAAGATAAACTCACTCTCCCTTTTTCATGCCTATTCATTTCTTCAATTAACTAGGCACTAATGACCTAAGTGTTTTTATTCCAGACATCAAATACACAACTGCAGCTTCAGCTCTGAGCTATCTCCCAAAACAGTTATTAGTGTACAATCTTTCCCAGGTTCAAGAACAGGATTCACAAATTAAACTAATACAAAATAAGGGCTGCTCTCTCAGAAACTCAAAACTGCTAACAGAAATACATAGTTAGAACTTTACACAAGCTCAATAAATAAAAAGAAACTGCCTGTTAGTAAAGTAACAAAAACATCCACAAAAAATACACAGATTAAAATTGTATAAATCCAATCTGAGGTTGAACGCAGAAATACTTCAACTGAAAAGCAACAGTTTGGGCTTTGGAGTCAAACAGATTATAGTGAAGCCAGCTCCACATTACCCATGTGTAACCTTGAGACAAATTTCTTAATCTCTCCAATCCTCAGTTTCCTCAATAAACAGGACAGACAACATTACCTATCTCTGAAAGATCTTAAAAGGATTAAATAAAACTGTATATGTAAGGCTCTACTACAATGCCTGGTATATAGCAGGATAAAAACAATATGCTTCCCCCTCTAATTTTCAAAGTTTAATTAGAGGTTGATTCATAGATAAAGTGGAACTTATCGAACAGAAAAAATCTGCTAGCTGGACAGGAAGGAGGAGCATATTCCTCAGGTATTCCAGATTTATTCATAACTTTAAAAGTATAAATTTCTCATATTATCAGTAAATTACTAATGTAAAAATGCATCATTGACCTTGAAATGCTTTTCCACACCTAAGATGCTCTTCTTCCTCCTTTACAATTCTACAATTCTTTGAGGTTCTACATTTGTACATTATTCCTTTTTTCCTCTTCCTAAAGCCCTAAGTCAGACCCTCCTTTGGTTTTAGAATGACCTAAACCTTAAGTCAGACGGACATACCCTGGAATTCACTAAGAATTCTTAAAGACTTCCAGGAGAAGGTCAGAACCCAGCATCTAAGAAGTTAGAAACAATCAGTGGGAAAACAACATGGGCTTTGGAAACAGACAAAGGTTTAAAAGCTCTACCTTTGGCCCTAAATAAATGTATATAACCTTGGGTAAGGCACTTTACCTGTCTGGGCCTCATTTCCTAATCTGTAAAATGGAGATAATGCCACCTATATCTCATTGTGTTGTTCTCAGGATTAGAAATATAACTATAACAATTCCTGGCATATAAAAGGGGCAATTAAAGGTAATTGTTATTAAGGTCAACCTGCCAATTGCCTTACTGAACATTTTGCAAGGTTCAGTGCTTTCCTACCTGGCAAAAGGAGTCATACTGCTCCCACATTCCCATGCCTATATCCAAAAGGTTCCAGTTTAGTAATCTATAATTAACCAGATCAACAGCTTAAAGAATTCAGGACAAGAAAGCACTAACATGGCTCAACTCATTCTCTGCTGACAGCAACAAAGCCAATACAGGGAGGATATATTTGCCAAAAAAGAATTTGTTTGAACATGGTCATTACTTACACTGATGGAAGCACTAACTAGTTATGGTTCTTGGACTCACAGCCTTACGGTCACAAAGTTTTTTAACTTTTCTGAATAAATTCTATCCTGCTTTGTTTTCCCTGCTATGACATTCATATTACTCCATTATCAAGAACACAGAGAAGAAATCCTCTCAACTATTACTACTGCATTCACTATGGAATTTATCTTCCTATTTCACAAATCACTCAGAGATTTTTGGTTTGTTGGGTTCACTTGATGTGAGCTTAGACGACGAAAGATAATTACATACAATATATGATAGCCAAAAGGACAAAATCTGAAGCCCATAGCACCGCAAGTTACAATATGGAGGCAGATACCAAGGATAAGATGTGATTAAGTAACCTGCACACCCTATGTTCACTCTTATTAACTACTGCACTTGGGAATTCTGGTTCTTGTAAAAAGCTTATTTTCCTTATGTGGCTGAGAAGAGTAACAACACTAAAAAAAACCCCTGATGAATGGAGCACTGGAAACCATCAATGGAAATATGAATTAAGATAATAAGCTTGTATGTGAGTTACAAAATAAAGGCAACAGTCACGAATAACACAGCCAGGGGCAGCCATTTCAATCGCCAGTATCCCCAGTCCTTCCCCACACTGTAATGAAAGTAGAAGGGAGTCAAGGTCAGAATGACTATTTAAATTAGACAGATATCTAAGAATCAAGAAAAGCTGAACAAATCAAAATGTCACATTGCAGTCCCTTGGTGAGGTGACTTTCAACTTGGGAAAGAAAGGCAGTCTCATGCACTAATTTCAATTTAGCCAATTCAACATCAAGAAAGTTAGAGGTTCCATCCCCAGAAAGGAACTGAACAATTGCTTCAGTTGTGTCATACAGCTGCATCCTTGCCCAGAGCTTCACCTGCTTAAGAAGTTGTTTTTTGATTGCAATTAACATTGTAAGGCAAGCTGGGCCCTGTCTTCCATAGCCTTGAGGCAGCTGAGTAAATCTAGATTCATGGAACCTACATTTTGATACTGGGAAAACAGGAAGAAGGTGGTTCAGCAACAAGGAAAATAGCCAAGAAGGACATCTAGATTTAAGAAAAACAGACTGACATGCTGGCTTTTGATTTTTTAACTTCTTTATATAGAATCTATTGAATTGTGTATACCTTTCAAAGGAGGTCATGGTAGCATACACTTAAGCTATGATGGGAAGAGAAATAAAATCAATTCTAATAATAATCACTATCACTTCTTAAGCTCCTATATGTGCCAAATTCATTTCCAGACTCATAACTAACTAAAGCCCTATACAAATCCTCCATTCTTCAATTGTATTAGTATCTTTATTTTATAGAAGAGGAAACAGATTTAGATAATTTGGATGATACCCAAAAGCTAGTAAGTGGGGGTAAAGGATATGAAATGAAGCCAGGTCTGCCTGACTGTAAATCCTTTTCTTAAAAGCAAAGTGTTAAACATTTACTCTCAAGAGATCTAATCAAATTACAGATTTTACACAAAAAGACCCTTAATCACAGGAAAAAGATGTGGCTACAGTTATAAGTTATAAGCAACTCAAAACTAATCAGAAATACCTTTCAGATTTCCAGACTCATAATTAAGTACTACCAGCCCTGGTGCCCATCCCATGTTGCCCCTTTCCTCCTAGAGGAGTTTCATACTGCGAATGACAAGGATACTGTCCTAAAGCGTCATTAAATAAATTCCTCCAGTCTTGCCTCTGACATAGTTTATCACCTATAATTGGATAATTAGAACAAAAGGGTCATCTGTTTTATACCTTAATCATGAGGCTAACAAAAGTTAGCTGGATCCAAGGTTCCAGTTCAGCTGAATCTTGCAGAGTGAAGCCAATGCAGACTTCACATCACTTTATTGCTGTTCTGATAGAGCAATTATAAATCATTCACTATAATAAAAAAAACAAATCACTGTGTTCATACTGCACCTCAAAAAGCAGAGCCATAATCCCTTTTTATATGACCCACACCTCTGTTTTTTCCAGTATCTGCCCCCATTTTCTGGACTAATTTAGCCTTATGAGAGAAAGCAACCACATCTCGGATAGCCATTGTAGGCTAACAGGGGAGTATTTATTATACATCTAGGCACACTTACTCCTTGGTGTTCTGAGGCTAATGCCTCTTCAAAACTATGTCTGAAAGAACCTGACAGCTGAGAAAGAAAACCCCACAATGATCGCCTTTCCCAAAAGTAAAAGCATTTCTTCTTAGCACTTTCAGATCATAATAAAGGAACCAATAAAAGATTCTCTTCATACAAAGGCTAGTAATCCTGGAGGCCAGCTACTGAGCAGAGGGAACAAACCTTTGAAAAGAGTTAAGAGAATCTCTCCATTATCCTTCTACATTCGGAGAAGATGCAAGAATATTGCAGTATCTGGAATGAAGGTAGAGAACATCACCACTGCTCTACGGAAGCGGCTGGCCACAGAAAAGCAGAAAGTCATAATTTGTACAGAAACCAGACAACTGAGGATTTCAACGCGAGCTAACTACTGCTTGCTTACTCGTTCTCTAAACGGAAAAGATCTTTCCACTCTTATTGCTGGGTGAACTCTGATAAGCGGTAAGGTTTTTCTTGTCTGTAAAATAACACACGGGAGCACACCGGGGTGCGGGCGGGGTAAGGTGCCACTCCTGTCTATTCCAAGTAGTAGCGGAAAACGCTACGTCCATGTTATGCATCAAAGTACGTGCCACCTGGAGTCTTCGCTCCCCAGCCCTGGGGACTGCGTGGGGGCATCCCTGAGAGAGTGGATCTGAGGGGAAAGGGGGTCTACAAGAGTCTTCTACGATCAAAAGGGAGGGCGTGCAGGGTGTGTCGCCGGCAGGATAGGATCTACGGTTCCCCCCTCCCTCCTCAGCCCGGCCCCAATACCTTCTTGACTGTGCGCGGCGCCTCGGTGACGGTGCCGTCGGGGCTGACCAAGGCCTCGCCGCCGTCTCGGTGCCGCTGGTGTTGGTGATGAGGGTCGCTCCGCTTCATGGCCGACGCCTGAGGCACTTTCCCGGCCGCAGGACTGAGAGCGGCCGCGGGCCCCGAGCCCGGACCAGGGGCCAGGGGCCGCTCCGCGGAGGGAGCTGGAGCCTCAGGGTCCCCGCCGCCTGCAGGGGGGACCATGGCACTCACAGCCGCCGTACTCAGTCCCAGCTGCGGCTCCGCCTCGGAGGGGCTCAGGTCCTTCAACTCTACCTCAGGCACCTTCGCGGCAGCCGCTGTTGACACAACCTGCACCGACATCACCGCCTCCACTGCAACCGCAGTCTCAGACTCCAGCTCCGGCTCTGGCTCGGCCCCGCCTCCCGCCTCCCTTCTCCTTCCCTCCCCCATTCCCCCACTCCTCCCTTCCATCGCCTCCGCTCCCGCCCCCTTCCTCCGCCAGCCCGCCCGCCCGCCGGCCGGCCGGCCAGCCTGCCCAGGCCTCTCCCGCCCCAATCCGGCTCGCGCGCGAGGCCCCACGGAACCTGTAGTGCACTTGCTCCGAGCCGCACATGGCGAGAAGACGATGGGACCTCAGCCCCCGACCTACACTGCGCGCCACAGGGGCGGGGCGGTGGGGGGGGAAATCCGCTATGCCCCCTGGGAGTCGTAGTCCCTATTGCTCTGACTAGTGGGATTCTGTAATAGAGTTGGAGCTCTAGGGCCAGAGACTAGTGGAAAGGAATGAAGAGAGTATAGGTGACACGACGAAGGGCATGAGTAAGAGAAAGTCTCGAGGAGTTGCGGCTTCCGGGAAGGGAACACCAGAAACCCACGGGTTGGAAATGTCTGACCCTACCCTGATAGCGTGAATTTCCTCCTGGGGTGCACGTCTACGGTCACGTGAGCAGGCATTTAAAAGAAAGGCGGCGACGTCACGTGAAGAGAACGCCGGTCTGAGGGTTGTCGAAGTACGTTCGATTTTTTGCCTCTCTGAAATCGGGAACCCTCGCCCCCCCACCCCCACCCCTTCCCCCCCGGCAATACTCTTGAATTTTAATGGCTATGTTTTCAGAAGGAATAAAAATAGATCTTTCCCAGCTGTGGCGATTTCTGACACATCCTGGGTTGGAAATTTAAAATCAGTCTAAAAAAGAAGTTAGTTGTCACTAGGTCCAAATTTCAAGACCGAATTAAACGTTGCCTTAAGCAGGCCAAATCTTTTGACCCTATTAATTCCATTAGGGAAATAGTAAGAAATTCAGATAAATATATCAGGAAGGAAGATAATCTAAAATATGAATAGTGATTTATTTAAGTGATGGGATTCTACATAATTTTTTAAAACTATTTCAATATATTTTAAATTTTTACATGTATTTTAAAAGGTGTAAGCACAAAGATACATATCACAGTTTTATTCTGAATAACAGAAGTATCTGAATTACTTTAATGTTCAACAATAAGGGAATACTTTTGTCTTTAAAAAATTACGTTTGCCAAGAACTTTTTAAAAAATGATAAGGGGAAATAAATGTTTATGGTAAAATAATAAACTAAAAAGCAGGAGACAAAATTTCACATTCCATAAGATATTAACTATGTAAATAATATTTGAAAAATATATTAAAATGCAATTGACTTTGGGTGACAGATTATGGGGTAGACTATTTTCTATTCTCAGAGAAGCTGAGGCAAAGGATTTTTGTTTATGGTTGTTCAAAGAGTTAGTGGTAGCCCTGACAACCCCAGAAGGCCACTGCACATCTAGTCTTCGAAGTAACTTATTTTTTTCCGGGCAAGAAGAGGGAGAAATTATCTGCCTTGATCATCTTCCCTGTGCTACTGCTGTCTTGGAAATCCGTTCATCTGTGGAGTTGCCCTACCCTGGATGGAGTCTGGTATCCTGGTCTTTAAATTTGTGCCTAACACTATGTTGTGGAAGGCATATGAGCATTGCCAATTCCACAAAGCCTGCAGTTCACCAGACCCAAGGGCTTCTTAAGCTTTCTTGTCACACTCTGGCTTTCAAAATTTCCTTCCTGTTACAAAGAACCAGCCCAGAACTTCATCCTCCAGCTGTCGGAACAGAGATTAGCACCTCTATAACTGATTTCTTTCTTTCCTCTAATGCACAAAGGAGCTGCGGAACAGCCACCTGGCATGTGTCAGAGGTTGTAGACAGCAGCTGCCTACCTGGACTGCCACTAGAATTGATTACTGAAGGTAGGAATTAATTCTTCAAGTGGGATGTACATAAAGAGTTGCAAAGAAACTGGTATTCATCCTTTATTTACCCAGGCATCATCCACTGGCTGGGGCCAAACATCAGGGCACACTCTTTACCCATTATCAACTCTACCCTACGCACTTGCTGCTTCTGCCGTCTTTGTTACTCAGGGACACCAGGCACAGCTGAAGACGGAAACACCATACCAGAAACAGGATGATTAATCACAAGCTTATAAACTACTTAGTTTATGAAATATTTAGACTACTGTTCTTCTATTGCTGAGCTCATTCAGCTTCCAGGCCCTGGCTGGCAGGAATGTATTTTCCACACAGGAGATTACAAAGAACTTTTACGGTATATGATCAACCCAAGAGAAAACTTGAAGATGCTAACACTGAGAGTTCCCCGAAGGAAATAAGCCACCCAGATTACCCTCAGTGAAGATTGTGCCCAGTTCACAGAATGGTCCAAAGAACCATTTAGTGCCACCCTCTTAAGTATGAGAAGATAGACAAAGTCACCGTGATTATGAAGGAAACCTTTATTACAAAAGAGACCAAATAAGCAAGCAGAAAAAAATAAATAACTTGGAGGAAAAAGAGGCTGTGCATCAAGAAAAAATCAAGAGCAAACCAAACCCCTCCCAAAAAAAATCTATTTGTGAAGCAACATTCTGTTTCAAGAAATGAACATTTAGAAAACAAACGAGATCTTTGAAATGTAAGCATGGAGACAGAAAAATTTGGAACTCAATAAATAAGAAGAAATTAAAAATAGGAAAGATGCATTTTATCTTTGCTCAGATTGTTGGAGAATGGTGGCTTATTTAATGGTTTTTATGCTTGGGTCTAAGGCACTTTTTTTTTTCCTAAGGTATCTTTGATATACAATCATATGCTCAGGTTTCATATGAGCAACATTGTGGTTACTATATTCCCCCTATTATCAAGTCCCCACCACATACTCCATTACAGTCACTGTCCATCAGCGTAGTAAGATGCTATAAAGTCACTACTTATCTTCTCCGTCTAAGGCACTTTTTAACATAATTGATGCAATACATTGGGAAGCTACAGTTTTCTGGAAAAATCGATCACTTAGGAACTGTTTTTCAGATCTTGAATAAGTTTTTCTTTAAATTTCAAAAAAAGAAAGAAAGAAGGAAGAAAAAAAAAAGAAAAGGAATTAGAGGGCCAGTCCAGGAAGTCCAACATCTGAATAATAAAAGTGCCAGAAAGAGATAACAAAGAAACTGGAATGGTGGGGGGGAAGGGGGACTTATTAAAGAATTAATTCAAAATATTTCCCAAAAATGAAAGATGAGAATTTCCAAAGCAAAAGGAGCCTCTAGGTGCCCAGCCAAATGGATGAAAATAGACCTGCATTATTAAATATATCATTGCGAAATTCACATTTCTGGGGACAAAGAGATGATCCAGCAAATGTCTGGAGTGAGTCAAGGAGTGACATTTTCACAAAAGCCTAAGAGTCAGTAAGATAATGAACTTCTTAAAATTAGTTCTGGAAGCTAGAAGATAGTGCCTTCAGTACTATGATTGTTCTGCTTGCCTTTTCCAGAGATAAACTGACCATTAGCCAAGTTTGGAAGAGGAGAGGCAGTCATCTGTGCAGAATTAGTGGGGAGCCAGGGACCAGTCCTAAAGTACCTTCTATCTCCAATTCAGAGCCTTTTGGGATGCTGCAGTCTAAGTTTTCCCTATTGCTAGCTAAGACTTTAGCTTTTTCTTTTTCTTTTTTGTTAAGTCTATTAAATTACCACTTTTTCTTTGCTTTCCAGCTTTTAAAACTGTTACTTTTGGCTCCTCCTCTTCCCCCCCTTTTTTTCTCATTGTAGGAAAAGAATGAAAAAGAGCTAAATCCTTATACTCTATTTTGGAAAGTCAAATGATAACATCTAAAACGAACATTCAAGAGATAGTATGGCCCCTTTTGTCCAGGCATATGGAATAAATACCACAAAGAACATCTAAAATAAAGTGGTTGGCTCCCGAGAATAGGAAACGATGGATAGCTGGTGGGAGAGCTGTACTAAGACAGCAGTTTTTATGAACAAGACTTGTAGAACTATTTGACTTTTCAAACTAATTTAGATGAAAATAAAAACTGTAAAAGCAGGCCAAAGCAATACATAGTTTATGGGTGCATGGGTGCATATGCATATGTAAAGTATAATAATGGACTGAAAGGAAACCCACTAAACTCCAACAATTGTTCTTCTGTCAAGAAAGGGGAAAGTGGGAAGAAAAATGGGACAGGGGTGTTGGTCAAAGGGGATTTTAGCTAAATCTGTTATACTTCTTTGTTTTTTTAATTGGTAGAAGCAAATATGATAAAATGAAAAGGCATTTCTGAGTTTGCATTTATTCCTAATAAACACATATGAATGTGTTCATTAAATTGTTGTGTCTATTACCTTAATAATACAAATTTCTTAATAAAACAATATCAAAACTCAAGCAAGCAGAGGAAGGGTTGGGGTAGTGAACAGACTGTAAAAGCTGGGATAAATAGAAGCAGGCCTTACAACCTGGGAAGTTGGACAGCTAAGTTTGAGAGACAGTAGGAGGGCCAGATGGAGAAGCTGAAGGCCGAGCCTGACAGAGCAGTGAGGCAGGGAGACCTCTGTCCTCAAGGCAGCAGTCACGCCACAAGGGAGTGCCCCCAAACCAGGCTCCTCTTGGACTCTGAGGTTTCTTCCAGCGACCTAATTCGGGAGCTTTGGTAGGAAGGTGGCCGCTATGGCTTAGTCATGAGTTGTGGTGCTCCTATAAAAAATTCCTTGGTTGTGGGAGCATCTTAGTTCTGCACCTCCAGCCACCCTGTCAAATCTACGTTCACAAAAGGTGGGCTCACAGTGCCCCCTAGTGGTCACAGGGTCTCTGTTAGCCTCCACAGCCAGATGAAAAGAAATATTTCTTAGCTTTTAAAGCCCAGAATGAACATCCTATTCCCCATCCTTTACATAAGTATTCCCACCAAAGAAAAAAGGGATGGAGGAAATGTCCAGAGATGAAAAGGAGAAAGAAAACTGTTACCATCCCTTATTTGAGAAAAGATCATTAGACAAACTGATAAATTGTATTTTGAATTCTGTTGTTGACGAAGACTTAAAAATAGCTATACTACTGCTGAGAG